TCCTCGCACCGACCCCAGGGCGCTGCGGCAGGGGAAGCCGAACACGAGCTGCTGCCGCAAGCGCAGCGCCGCAGCCTGCTGCCGCCATACAACAGCTCCCACTTCAGGAGGGCTGTATTAGGTGGTCTTCCTCCCTCTTGGGGAAAGTAGTACAATGCAAAGAACACTTGAGGTTCTCTCAGATTTATGGGAAAATGCTTAATGCCAGTTTTAATAACCCACGGTAAAGGGGGGGATACTGGCATGCTAACATATCCCATTGCACATGCCAGGCCACAAGAGAAGTTCTGGCTTTAACTAAAATTAGCAATGGTGAAAGGAAGCGACTCAAGCCCCCGCTCCGTGCTGCATCTGCTGCTGCGGGGAAGGGCATAACCTCACACCCAGCGATGTGCGAAACCTCCCACGGGGGCACAGGGAAGGTGCACCGTGCCTTTCCTGCCGCTTCGCATACTTTCGCCCACAAGGCTTTTGCAGAGTTCTGGCCTGCATGAACTTGCCCATGAAGTTACCGAACAGAAAAGGGGCTCCTAGACTGAGGGAGGGAAGATGGCTTTCAGTGCAGTAATTCTGTGGCAACATCTAGATCAAGACAGAATTGTGGAAAAGGGAAAAAACTTTTCTGTTTGTGTCCTGAAAACTTAGGAGTAAACAAGTGAGAAAAGCCAGACAGAGATGGAAGAGACAGAGAGGCTGGCAAATGTGCATACATAAAAAACATTTCAGGCTGGTGGTTGTACGAGGAGTCAAGTATCTCCCCCTTCCTTGGGGCACTTAACAAGACCGCCCTGTCTATTCAGGGGAATTACTGAGACGGTAAGGTGGAAAATGAGCTCTCCACTTCAGCAGCTCAGGTACTTACAAATCACGGTTAGATATGCAGATGTCTATTGCAAACTCATTTCTACTAAATTGTTCCAGTAATGCTATTGTCATATGCAAGTTGAGTGCACGCCTGAAAAAGTCACTCTTTTAAGGCTTCACCAGTTTCAAAGAGGCACATACAAGGCAGGAGTGAATTAAAAGGCAGCATGGCACTACATTAATACTTAAAGACAGCACGAGATGCTACGTTAGTTTGCATTGCTAGTACCTGAAGTATTTCAATGATCTTCAGCTTTGTGTCCATTACCAGGATGTCCTCTTTCTCTGGCTCGCTCTGCTTGACGTTACCCTCAGGAGCAGCAGCAAGCGGAGTCATGGGCAAGAACCCACCACCTCTGAGCACCACCTGGGTCATCAGCTCCCCAACTCCGTGGATTGATCTCATCACATTGCTCCCTTCAGAGAGGTAGGTAAACAGGTAAAGTTATGATGGTGTAATGGGAGTGCATTAACAGGGCAAGGACCCTCCACATCCTATGAAGAGAAATTGTCTCAACATTAAAGGCGGACAGATGGACACCTAAATCCCTGGAAGAGATGGAAGTCAACAGAAGCACGGCTGTACTTTCAGAATCCCCCTGCCCTCTCCCTTTGCCATTGTAGGCATTGCTCAGCTGTACAGCCAAACCATAGACAGAAAGGGGTAGAAGATTTCAAATCCACATTGACATTTTGAGATGAACTAGAAACTACCAAAGAATGATCTGTTCTGCCAATCATTTTTTGGCCTTACCTTTACTTTCCTCGCCTTTTGCCATCTTGGTAATAGGGAAGATGGTAGTGATGTGCACACAGTCTAATATAGCAAGGAGGATTTTGGTTAGTCTGAGGAGGTCACAGAAGTTGTAGAAACCAAAATATATCAGATTTCTGGCTAAGTTAACAACCTACCAAAATAATAACAAAAAGCCTGATTAATACTAAACATTTTGCTATCACAATCAAGTTGTCGTAAGACAAGGAAAAGATCAAGAACCTGGCTGCAAGTCATATTCTTATCATAATAGCTCATAATTCCGTAAGACTCTATAGCTCTACATTTTATCATAAAGTTTTCTACTTGCCTACAAATACTGCAGTGCCTGGAGTAACAGCATGTACTTGCAATTGATATTCTATAACTACAAAATCATACCATGTTTGTCTCATTACAGAAAACATAAGATAGACATAAGATAAACATAAGACTAGAGCGAATGTACAGATGTTTTTTATGGTTTTGTCTTACAAAAAAGTAAAAATTACCCATCTAAAGCTTACTGCTACCAAGTTAAAGTTTCCCACAAGTCCTCCTCATGCACTGCTTCAAGATTCACACACAAGAATTCCACATATAGTGCAAATATTTAATGTAGCCCCACCATCTGAAGTATATCCCCTCACATACTTTTTTTTTAAAAAGAAAACCACTAATTTTAGGAAATATGTGATATATTTAGGGAATACTATTACATGGATTTGCTACATTTTATTTGCACAGAGTATTTTAATAGGTCACAGGACATGGCATTGTTCTCTTCCTGAGTAATACTATAAGCTCTAGAGACTATCTGTGCATGCAGACATAGTGTTTACTTTTTGAGAATATTTATTCCACTCAAGCTTGACTTTGCAATAACAGTGAGAGCATAAAAAGTAAACAGGGCTGCTGCAAATCTAAGACATAAGCTCACATTCATTAACTGTATTTCAAGAACTATCACTGCAAACTCTCACAAACTTCAGTGAAGTTGCTTGCACAAGAATAAAGGACTACACTGGGAAGTAGGAGCCAGCTGAGGCTCAGCACTTGCTAATTACTTGCCAGTCCACCTGGTGTTGAAAAAAAAGTACCAACATTCCACACACACACATGCATACAACAAAAGATAAAATCAGAACTGGATAACTACCTCAAAAGTGAGCTTATTTTTCTCTTTATCAGAGAAAGGGAACCTCTGACACACCACATCTCTTAAATATTCCTCTACAAATTCCATTGTTTGTGCAAATCTCTCCTTAATTTCATCTTTGGATGTTCCACTGCTATCATAGCTGAAGAGGGAAAAAAAACCAAAACAAAATAAACCACAAAACTTAGCATGCAAACACACAGGGCTCTCTTCCCCTGATACAATTTTTCATTGGTTGGTCAAAATCTAAAAGCTGTGAAATAATTTATCCAAATGAGGGAGTCGGGAAGTTGACACCATAATTTCCTGGCTTTTGCTGTTTTATCCCATATGGTCATTTAGCACTATTTAAAAACCTCTGAGGAGAACAAAAAAAGAGAATTTTGTCCCAATAAATAAGAAACCCTTCTTATTTTAGTGGAAACAGTGACAAGCTATGTACAGCGAAGGCAAACGGATGTGGCCAAGAGATGCTGACTGTAGATGCTATTTTCCTCCAAATAAAAACAAGATATATGCGAAGTAGACATTCATTTTTCTTAATTCAAATCCTAGGTTTGTTTCTCAGCGTGTGCAGACAGTGTTTGAAAAGGAAAAGACAATCCCAACCACTTTCCACTAACTACTTTCGTTTCCCTGTTTGATCACATATCACTGTTTAGCCTCTGCCAGAGCTGAAGCCATTTGGTTTTCTATTTCGGCATTTAAAGTTGGGTATGATCTACTGCATCTCTCTCAAAGAAAACTAGGCTAGCAACGAGGGAAAAAAGGGCAAAAGAATAAACCACTAAACACCAGTACTAACACTGACAAGACTCAAATTCCTAACATTTAGCCTAAATTTTAAATGTTTATTTTTTCCAACCCAAAAAATTGTGTTCTGAACAGTTGACTATAAATTTTAAATTATTTGTACTGTAGAGTTAATACAAGTCTATGGTCAAGAAATCACATCTCCAGCCTAGCTGTGGTTTTGTATAGGTTTTTCCCCACTGCATCAGAGTATTTTCCACTGGAGGTGAAGGAACATGACTGGGCCTCCAGCACGTTGCTTGTTTCAGCATCTTCTCCCTTTTTTTGGCTTTTGATTGTGCGAGCTACCGTATGGACAACCTGCCTGCAGAGTCTATACTCTAACCAAATAAGGCAGGAGGAAAAATGAAATAGCCCTTCCTTGCCTTCCCTCCCCAGGGCTAGGGCACTTGTCACATCACCCAAATGGGAGACAGACCATCACTGCGACCACTGCCCGTTCGGGAGACAAAGCCCTACTGCCTCACAGCTCACACTACGCACATACAGCAAAGTTATTTTGTTCGCAGGAAGGTTCTCTCCAGCAAATGAAACTACAGGGTCTGAATAATGGAACTAGTGAGAATGTTTTTTTTTTATTATTATTATTATTATTTTTTGTTTTTAAAGAGAAGCATTATAAACAAGGCATGAGTTTAGGATTGATCTAGGTTTGTTTTAAAAATCAAGAGGGATTAATTTCCTTTTCCAACACTATCCAGCAAGTACTTACTCATCAATAGCAATTTCAGAAGGTATTTCAGACCACAGGCGAGCATACTTCACCGGTGTTACTTGTTCTTGGGGGTCACGATCAACATGCATATGCAGCATTAGCCGGCAGAAAGATGCTCTCAGATCATACGGCAAGTTTTCATCAGACATGCAACGGAGAATGAGGTCCACATCCAGCTGGCCTGATATTTCATTTATGGCTAAGTACTGTCTATCAAGGCACATTCTAGCAAAGAGGTTTAGTTGGTATCTTCAGGGGGAAGAAAAAAAAAAATACATAAACAGCTTACACTTTAATTTCCAGAGACGTCCACTGGGTATAGTACTGACATGCTCTTACGTATTATCAGAATGAATCTTGTATTTTCCAGTAATATAGCTATACTTATTATGGAAAGAATAAAATGCGTAACAAACACTAGTAAAAGGTAACCTAGTGGAAAAATAGAATAAAAGGAGTCATCGTAGTTTCCTGAGAGTTACATTCAATTAAATAATGCTGTTTATGAAAGGTACAGAAGAATCCAAACAACACTTAAGGCAAGTCAGCCTAAATACTGTAAAAGACCGAACACTTCTTACTGATGCTGAAGCCACAGTTGTTCAGTGAGGCAACAATGTAGATGGAGTACAGAATCATTAAAATTAGGTACGTGATTAAACAACTACTGAGCTCTGCTCCCTTCAGTGAAAGAATTGGTAAAGAAAAACTGAACTTAATCCCTAAGGTTTTTAGTCCGTAAACTAAAAGCAAACAACTGGCATTTAAGTTAGGCTCATCCAACAGGCTGGTAATGAACCTTTAGTCATACAGCACATGTCCAACACTCATGAGTATTCATACAGGCTTGTGCTGAATAGTGTCAACTGTGAGGTTTCCTAAAGAAATGAACATTTAATTGAAAGCAGGCTCCTTTTCACTCTCAGCACTCCTCATGGGAATTTCACCAAACCATATCCTAAAAGCCTTGTTTTAAGCATGTTCATGAGACTATAATGTAGACTAAAATTAATTAACACTATCAATTCTATTTAAAAACAAGTGCAAGAAAAATCTATTTTGAAAGCAAATGCAATTTTTAAAAACATATATAAGAGGTCTCCTTTTGAGCTCAGTCCTCCAATAGGCTCAGATAAAAACATGTATTAAGAAGTCTGCTGCAAGAACTATTTCAATGGGAGAGATAATGAAAAATAAGATAGCTATTAAAAAAAAAAAAACTAGTTGTACTTTCTGCACCACCACAACTGAGTCCGTCAAAATACTCTCAGAAGTTTATAACCCAGACACAGGAATTTGGTCTGGGCTGAAACCTGATCTTGCACTATGCCAAGAACTTGGTGTCTTGTCAAGTCATCTGGAAACATCGCTTCATGTTAGAAACTGCTAAAAGCATAGCTTAAGCCATACAAAAGAGCACTGCACATTAATCAAACCAAACTTGTGGCATTTTCATAACTTCACATATTGTCCTGCTGAGAACTACGGGACCACTAAAGGCTTTGAGCCTAGAGAGAAATTTAGAAGGCAGAGGGAACAGCAGTGACTCCTTTAGAATCAAAAGCAGAGTCATCTGCATGCTCAAATGCTGTTCTTCCTCCAAGTGGCTGTTCACCCCAACTACCATCTGAATACAGGTAACCTAAACGGTTAACAGAGGATCTCTCATAACACCCACTTATCAGGAAACCAAGCAGAAATACAAGCATTAAATGCTATGCAAATTCAATGCACTCTAAGCTTCAACTATTTAAAAAAAAAAAACAGTTTAAACTTGCTCATGCTGATAATTGGACTTCTCATCACAAATAACTTTGTGCTTTTAGCTCTCACTTCAAAGAGACTTCATCCTCACTGTCTAATGGCTATTTTGTCCATCAAACCATTACCCTTTCTCCCAAACCAACTACAGCCTATATACCAAAGGCTTCCCCACACAGCCTTGATGAACTTTGCTAGCCAACTACTGTACATGCTCTTTAACCTGTAGTAGCTGAGTACGTCCCGATCTTCCTTCTGCCCTTCCTTAGCATCCTGAGCCAACTCTCTGATACTCTTACTGCGGATTTCCTTGTTCGTGTCTCTCCAGAACAACCACACTTCTTCCTCATCTTCTCCAACTTCCAGGGCATTTTCTCCACTGGACACTTCTTCAAACTCAAATCGAGAGAGGACCAGCCTGCCAGAAGGAAGTTAGGTTAGATTACGAACTGCCAAGACCCATGCAGATCTTTTAGCACATTTCTTTTAAGACATTTGCTAAAATGTACTGGTGACATAGAAATAACTAATTTTATGATCTCACCTGCATTCAGAACACACAAATTTTATTGCCTAACTCTGCAAAGTAAAAGCAGGAGTACCTCACTCTTTTCAGCAGCAGCAGTTTACTACATAAAATCTTTGTGTTTTATTATTAAAAGCATGAGATTAGAATTAATTTAGACTATAAGATTTTCATTCAGTCTTAAAAGGACCAACATTTCAGCTCCATTCAACTGACACAGACAGAGGAACAAGAAGTTAGAGACACATGTAACTGACTTTCAAAAGCATCTTTACAGGAGAACTGGTTCAAAGATCATTCAACAGACTAGGAAAGGATTTAGTAAATAGAAATACCTAAAAATCAATTAGTTCTGTACCCCATAAATGCCAATTGGATCGGAACTTGTTTCTGCTTATGTAGCAAAATACCTAGAAACAATTCAGTAACTAAAACTAAAAAGGCTTTAAGGGCTTTTAGCTCTTCAGCAAAGAAGAGATCATACATCTGAAAAAAGACAAATTAAATACACAAGGGTGAGAACAAATAAGTGGTGTAGCAACTTGAAGTGCTGGTGGAAATAAATACTGTCTTTATGATTTCACGAAGAGTATCAAACGTGCAAAAATACTCTCTCATCCATTTGTGTTTTAAATATTACCTGACAAAGACCTGCTTCCCTTTTGCAGTATGTTGATAATACCTGTGCCCTATCCCACACATCAAATAAACCCATCTTTACGGAAGACTATCAGGATTTGGTGCCTGCTATGATGCTTCAGCAATGGCAGGGCAATGCTGAGAGCTGGAGACCAAAATCCTAACTGCAGAGGGAGAAACGAGTGAGCAGAGATGCATCAGCTTCTGCTTTGCTGCAAGCCGAGCTCAGTGGGCAGGCACCCAAGACGCGCTTGCTCACTTCAGACAGCTTCTGGAGGAAAGCCTGAGGCACAGAGGAGGATCAGGCCCACAGGACTCTGCACACCTTCCTGCAAAGTCTGTCTGCTTTGATCCAACGTGAGATATCTGAAAGATTTCTCCGACTGCAGGACTGAGAATGCATATGGCAGACGTCTGCTGTCATCAATACCCATTGACTGTGTATTTGAAGAGGACCCCACACACACTTAACTGCTTTCTCTAGACATGCCAGCAGTGCTCTCAGCTTTGAATCACCTTCCTTCTGTTTCACACTAGGAAAACCATCTTTAAAGGCATTAACTTACTTAGTTTCAATGAGAATGTCTGCATTTGCTGGATTCAGCACAGCTTTACAAATCAACTCCTGTGTCACTGGAATAGACTTGTTCATGGAAACGCACAGATCTGAGAGGTAATCCAAAAACCTGTTGGAAAACGCGAGCCAAAAAGGGTATCAATCCTTGTTGAGATCTAGACAGAAGCAATCTACGTTCCAGAAAGAAAACATTCAGAACTCGATTTTAACATTGCAGAGCGAGACTGTTGCCCAAAGGGGAAGTTACGGTGAGTGCCAAAAAAGCAGCGAACTAGCTGTGCTTCCTCACTAGCAAGTTGGCAGGTACAGATTTTTCTCAGAAGGCTAACAGGAAAAGGGTAATAATATACTCAAATACATCTCACCTGGGCTCCCTATTTTTCCTCACAAGACTAACAAAAGTGTCAATCTCGGCAGCTGTGATGTGCTTCTCCAAGAGCTTGCGATTGTTATGAAGAAGTGCTGTAATAGTGTCCTCAGCCAAGACATCGTAGCCAATTTGCTTCTGCATGAAGCCAAACTGCTTCGCAATGTATTCCTTCAAAACATAGAAGGAAGAGGAAGGTATTGTAATTAATTCTCAGAATTTAAGAAAATACTCAGTAACAGAAAACAGTATTTGTCAAGATCAACATCCCAAGAAGTGAACTGGATTAGAATCAAATTGTTCTTCCTTTGAGAGAAAACAAGTGATAACAGATAAACTTAACACCTCCCTCTCTCCCGGGCCAGATACCACCAAGGCATTTATCCTTATCTGGTATGAGTTTGTTTTTAATAAATTGCAACAAAAAAAATGAACAGCCTTAATTCACAGGTCAACTTTCCATGGAGCCTGCAGTATGCAAGACTGAAGCAAGTTTTATAATTCAGCCAGATTTGACAGTTAGCTATTTGGTCGTTTTCTTAAATTCCCCTTAGAACTGGTACTAATTACACTGCACATAGTCTCTGAGAGAGATGAAAAATGCTAGATAGAGTAAAACCGAGCAATCCAAAAATCTCTTGCTTACTGTACAATCACAGCACAGCATAGCAGTGTTTAATTAATGGGATGCAGCTTTTATATATTTTGGAGCACAGGAACATTGTTAGTGCCACTGAAAGCTACAGGCATATTTCAAACCTGATTCTTTCTGTAATCCTGCTGAGAGTGTCTCAGCACTCTGTAGCAAAGCCGGCATATGTGTCTGAAAGGAGCATGACGCTGGTCTCCAAGCTCCTCCAACCGCAACATCGGGCCATCACCGCTGTCCGTAAATGGTGCTTGCAACAACTTGAAAATCTATAGAGGTGTTAAAAAACAAAGATAAAATCCCATGAGACACTGCCTTCATCTGATTAGAATTAGTGTAGAAATACTGTGTCAGTGTCGTTACATTTCTAAAAGGTACATCAGAAATACATTATAGTTGCCATGTTTGTTTCTGTCCAGGCTACTCTATGGCAAAGACAACGTTGTTGATCACCTTTATTGGACACCGTATTCTGTAATTTCTTCTTCTAGCAATGGTATGCCTACAGTCCACTGCCAACAGCCTGCTGAAAGCTAGAAACTCAAAGGATCTTTTGGTCCAAATAATTTGGCCAAGTCCTCTGGTATTAGTTTCTGTTTTCTGACAACCCTTCTTCTAGGCAGAGTTTAGAGAAAAATGCAGCCTACCTGCTTTAGAATATTCTGTTCTCTCATCAGTTTTTGCCGTTCTCTATTAGGTTTAGAAAATACCACCTCGAGGACATCTTGTCCAGAATTAGTTCCACCAGTAACAAAGTAGACCAAATCCTCCAACAATTTGGTAACAGATCTACGGAAAAGCCAGAAGCTGTTAATACAAGACTACAGATTCTACCTGTTAAAAGAACAATGCCAGTGTAAGTTTACACAGATTTTGAAACACTAAGTGGAAAAAGAACTTCAATTAGAGACTGACTCAGATGCTGGATAGAGCACATCGGTTTGTGCAGAACTTAAAATTAGAAACTAATGCTCCCTATTGCTATAGCCTTACTGCCTAGTAGCTAAAACATAGCAGCAGTAAGACAAGGGTATCACTTTAGCGCAACTATACGCTAGCCAAGTTCTAGCTGGCAGGTCTTTAAATTGCCAGGGGAAAAAAAAAAAAAATCAGGTAATAATCTCTCCCAAGGCCAAATAAAAGACGCTAGCTATAGAAGCACCTGGGCCCTGGCTCTACACAGCCCACTCTGCACTGTTTTTGTGTGGCCATGTACTTTTCATGGACATCAGCAGAGGATTTGCAAGAAGTCATATGTTCAGTCTTCACAAGATGGATTATAAATTCCCACACTCGATTTGCAAAGCCCATCAAGAAAGGTATGCTGTGGATTATTCCTCCAAGTTCACAACAACAGTTCTCATGCTCTCATTTCACAGAGCAACAGGGAGAGTTTGACAAAATGCTTGAGAACCTCCACTGTGGACATGTCAACAATAAAACCATCAACTTTTTTTTTTTAATCTAATCAAGGTGGAAAAAAAAAAAATCCCTCCCCTGAAGATAGCATACTTAAATAAAATTTTCAATGAAACAGTTACTGTGTAAAGGTAACAACATTGTCTGAACTCAATTCTTGCTTCCTTACCTTCTTTCATTCTGGGTTATTGTTCCCTTTTCCAACTTGCCAGCAATGGAACCTAAAACCTTACTTGCATCATTTGCAAAATCCAAGTCCCGAACCTCCGCAGGGGAAACTGGTACTATAGCAAAAGCTTCTTTGTCCTCTTTCACTGGAGAAGTACCAATCTGAAACACAGAGAAGTTTTAGCGTCAAATCAAAAGGCAGAAAACAAAGTAATGATTCACATACTCAGTGATAATAAAACAGAATAAAAGCCACACTCCACTTAGACAGTACGAGGCTACTGATGAAGTCAAACTTTGAGAACAGTACCACTCTGTGCAAGCTTAAAGTTGTTCCTAAATTCAGAGAAACATCAGAAGAGATTGCAAAACGTTGCAATAAACAGTGGAATAAAGTCCTCCTCGTGATGACTATCATACACTAGAAACTGAGCAGTTTAACTAGTAAACTACTATGAAAACCTAATGTTTTAGATAAAACGTTTTGCCTAAGAGCACTGTTCATAGCTGCTACACGGCTTGCTGTCTGACAAACCCAGCAGTCTCAAGGGACCGGGACCTCTCCTGCCAACACCACTTTCGTTAAAGTACAGGAATCGAAGGATGCGCTTACGTAGAGTAACAAGACTTACTTTAAGCATCACAGGTTTCTCTTCTTCTTTATCAATAGGGATATTGGTACTATGAACCCAGGTGTTAGTGCAAAGGTGTCTAAGTCTGACATAAGAGTTCCTGAAAGAAAGTCAAAAGTTTCAAAGCATGAGTCACTTTCCCAGATGGGAAATCTTCGCATTGTTTGAATTGCACGATGTTGGCAGGAACAAGTGGGAAAAAAATGTCATCTTTATCCATGCTACATACCGTAACAGGAATAAGACCTTTCTTTATTTCATTCTGTAAATTCAACTTAAGAAGTCTTCTTATATAATGAAATAGATTCTGTTGTAAAACAGAACTATGTCTATATTTTGTTGCTGTAACTCAGCTGCTGCACATTAACAAATTAAGCCTCTTCCAAATCCTCACATTTCCACATGCTATAGTGATCTGAGCTGTCAGCTTCCTCCCTTACCTATGTATTTTTCAGCCCATAACTCTCTATTTTTTATTTTCTAAACTGAGAATTTTCAGACTAGCTGTATGAAGAGCCAGCGTTGTACAAGCGTCAAAGGTCCATTAAGATACCAGAACACATGGCTAGCATGCAACAATTTTCTCTAGCAAAAGTCAACGAGTCCTTCGTCTATGAGGACAGCAGTTCCCAGACTTCATTTTCTCAGGTATTTCAGGCAATGACATTGTTTGGCATGTACCAGCTCTTTCATAAAAGATGTCAAGCCACAGTCAGATGAGCATCTTGGGCCAGGGTAACAAACTGTCTCTCAGCTGCAGTACAACCTCCCCTCTCCAGACAACCATGGCAGCCCAAAGGAGAGAAGCAGCAGCCAGGATGGCTGCTTTGGTGGCCATGTTAACCTCTGCTAACTTAAGAGTCTCTGATGATTTAGAGAGTTGCTTAGATAAAGCAAATGGAACAAATATGCTGTGCGTTCGCAGTGACAGCAAAGAGCCTGCATACAGACTGTGTGTCTTTGAAGGATTCAGCATCTTTTAAGTAGCAAAGGTACTCTATGAACAGTAAAGGACATGTAAACAACAGAAAATGAAATGCTAAATACTTGGTATCACCTCCTAGCTAACATGATACAGGCAGGTCACCAGAGTGACTTGATAGGGACATCCAAGGCTTTTAGTCCCTGTTTGTTCACCGGCAAGGAAGTCAATCTCAATTTTCCCATCTGTAAAATGGGGCTCTGTTACTTAGAACTGAATTGTAAAGTACTGAAGTGAAGCTTCAGGTACTTGCTAAATATTTCTATATTAATTTGAGAAGAATCTTAATTCCAGAGGATTTAAAACAAATAAAATAGTGGGCGACAGCTTTACCTTAAAAAAAAAAAAATGAAACTCCAAAGCAGATGGTCAGTTTTAACACTGTGCTTAGCTGTACCTGGGAACAAGGCTGTCTCCTCCTCGCAAGGTGGTAGGGTCCAACTCAAATATGGAGGAGATATCATTTCCTTCAGGCACGGACACCAGAGAGTACGCCATCTTCTCCTGAGCACTGCGCAAGCCTCTTCTGGAGGCATCCTGCTCAGGGTCCAGCTGGGGAAGAAGTCCCATCACACACAGTCAGACCAAGCCCTCCAGACCCACCTGCCTAGTGTTAAACAGATGCGTCCTGTCATTTGCAGACATGACTCTGGGCCACTCCAAGGACCGGTTAAGACAGCTGGGCTTTGGGACACCAGGAAAACTGACAAGTAGCTGCTCTTGCCAACCGTTTCTTCGCTTTCCCTGGTGTTAATAACTTCTGGATCACAACACAATAAATCCTAAACCACAGAGGTTATGTCTTGCAGACAGTGCCTGAAGAGACTCAGAATCCCCCAGCCATACACCCCACAGCGCACTGGGAACTCTGACTAGTTTCAGATGACCCACATCTGCTAAGATCCCCGCCCCAACACTAACAGCTCTTGAAATGTGTTCGACATACTGCAATTACCACTCTAACAAAGTAATTACATGAGCTGCAAATATAAAAATCAGCAACACTATGTACCAACAATTTCGCTGGGAAATAATCACCTTCAGCAGCAAAAATGGGACTCATATCTATCAATCACAGACAAACGAAACAGAAAGCTAATCAAGAAGTTAGGTGTCTTGCTGTTCACACTTCAGCTTATGATGCACTCAAACACAACGATACGCTATATAGCAGATGGCATCAGGAGTATCTTTATTTCCAAGGTGCTAGCAAATTACCAGCCTCCTTTAACAAAGTAAAGATACTAACATCAACCGAGTAAAGCCCCGGATTTTCAGAAGAAAGGACAAAAGGTAGGAAAAAATGAAGATACTAGGGAAAAGGAACAACTTTCTCTAAAACCGCTTCTAGGGAACTAGCAGCTATCACGAGTCAATAAAGAAGTTGCTAACTGCCTGACACGACACAGGAGCCAGCTGCCCACATATAAACATCTAAATCCTAGATGTAATTTTCAAGCAACCAACTGATCAGCTTCTCTCTGATCTTGGCACCAGTGAAAGATAGGCACCCAAAGTAGCCAGCACTCAAGCAGCTGTCTTCCAAAGTTCTGGTGTAAGGCATTGCAATCCTTAAACATACGGAAAAGGTACCTAATGCTGCTTGTGCCTCAGGATACTCTGTAGTTAGCACATTTCTAGTCAATGAACCTGGCTGTAAAGTAGTGACATTTAAAGTCTGATTTTGCACATGGGAACAGTTAACTGTATGGAACCGAAATACACATTGGGAGTGTGCCTTTGAGAGAAAAAGCAACTATACACTGAATAGAGCCTATCTGGAGGCTTTATATCGGGATAAATTCACTCACTTGAATGAATTCTCCGCATTTCAGCTGTCTCCATCTCCACAGTAAGGCAACTGCTCTGTATTCACAATTTGTACTTCAGGAGACAACTGGTCAGTTATTGAAACTGTGACAAAGCTGAAAATGAGCAGTAAATCAGGCAGTAGGATATGGGGCAATTTAGGGAGAACTAAAACTTCAACCCCAAAGTTGACAAAAGCAGTCTCTTTTAATGGTGCAAGGGTACTAGCTGGTATCTCACCCATGCCCATTTAAACCCCATTCTTGTGCAGCTCACTGATGTATAAGGAGAGACCAACAACAAAACACTGTCGTTGAGTTGTGCAATGAAACCTGCCATCTTGCAGACAGCTCACATTTGGATAAAGTTGGAGTTTAGATAAAGTTGGATAAAGCAGCCTACACCATCCTGTCACTACTGGATGTTAAACGATGCAGTAATTCCGTGTCAGAAATGAATTATGTGCGCCTGATCCTATTCTTTATGGTCTATTTTTGCCATCTAGTGGTAAAGAGGCAGCAGGGAGAAAATCCACAACTGAAGCCAGGGCGTTATTATCAGGAGGAGGCAGTAACAAAACACCGGTAGGATGGAGGTCTACGTAAGAGACCTTGACACTGACTAACTTTCAAAAAGTTAAGCCAACAAAATAGTTCAATGCTGGGATGCCCCCCAATAGCTTCGTGGGTTTTTTAGTTAATTTTTTGTTTTTCCAGTATGTTTACTGAAATCAAAGCTGTCAGAAGATCAGTGTTTGCTGCCAAACACCACCAAGAACTAATCAGGATAACAGCTCAATGTCTGACGGCAAGGGTTAGCCTTTTAATGGCCAGGATATAATGACAAATCCTTTTAGGAGGAGAACTCCACCTCACAGGATTTCAAAGCAAAGCATCGCAGTACATTCATCTCCTTTTGAAAATCAGAGGAGTAGTTCTTTTTCATATCCAAATGGAGCAAGTCTTCCATAATGCAGGATATATGGCCAAGAAAGCTGCATAAGCTTACAATCAACTCTGACTAAAAAAACGTAATCCACAATGGAAAGTGCTGTTCCAGTTTTATCTGTTTTCAACTACTGAAGCAATGCTGTTTCCCTTTGACACCAAAGAGAAGCTTCTATTAATACAAAGCATCAGCACACTCCATCTTTGACACGACGACATTTACCGAAAACAACACAGACTTGCTTTCACAGGAAAATCAGAAGAATGGCACTGGAATTATTCTCACCCTGCCATTCTTGCTCTCTAGACCCTTTATCCTGGCTTTCCTGTGACAAGCTAAAATGAGAGGGAATTATTTTCTTAAACAAGGTGGTCAGACGGCACAGCACTACGTGAACATCCCGGTAGGGATGCTTGCCATCCAGTGTCACCTTGAGCGACTTGCTTTTCAGACCTATTCAGGAGAGTGCTTCAAGGAGGCAAAGGTTTAAGAAATAGGAAGACAGCAAAAGAGATGCTACAAAGGGGGGAGGGCGAGGGGGTCCAGGTAACATATAAATTTGGTTCCAAGTGCATTGCTCTTCACTAAAGCCTAATCCAGTTTTCAATATCCACTCCTCTGGATAGGCCTTAAAAGCCTTCAGATCATTCTCAGTTCTTTACTTTCTTCACTAGCAACAAAGCCTGGACCATCTACGCACTGGCCAGGCAAATACCTGGGCCTGTGTCAAGCCCTCTTCAATTTGGGGCAAGATCATACTCTTGCCTATACTTACTGAGGATTGACACTCCAGGTCATCTTCCTCATAGTCAGGGTTTACCTGATGAAACAGAATCACAGGCACGTCAAAACTCTAACAGAGCTGCAAGGGGGAAACATCCTCAGCGCAGTCTAAATCAATTTTGTAAAAAATGCACTCTACTGCTACAGCACTAGCAGGCATGCAGAACAAATATACTGTGCAAACCGATTCATTTCTACTCGGGCATCTGCCTGTCCATGAATCAAGCAGTTAAGTAATCTGCGAACATGCAGAGAGATTTATCTTGTTCAGTATAATCACTAAAGGAGCAAGAGGGGTAGGGAGTTACCAAGTTTCAATTGTGGGGGTTTTGGTTTTTTTTTTTTTTTTTTTGGTTTTGTTTGTTTGGTTTGTGTGGTGTGTTGTTTGGTTTGGTTTTTTTTAAATCCTAAGTGGAATTTCAAACTAGAAATTACTGGCTTGGCAGAAATCTTCTGGAACAAACACTATTCTAACCATGGATCAGGTGAGCAATCTCCCCTGGTATATTTTTGCATGATGTAAGACCACGTTTTTGTTTTGGCTGATTAGCAAACCCAACTGGAAAAAGCTGTATACTGGATCACTACTGAAAAGGATTTGTGAGTGTGCATGTGACAAAATGCTGCTGTTTTTCCAATATGCTTATTAGAAGAATATAAAATGGGATATTTTATCTGGACTTTTCCCAGTGATGCTCTCATGTCAATAGCATGGGCTGAGAGCACCGTTCTGTCCTGCTATACATTCTTAGATCCAGGACAGCTTTTACTTGCAGAGATTTCTGTATTGGCATATTGATATGCTCTAAAGTAAATAAAACTAGTTTTAATAAACATTTGCAAGTGTTGAGCAGCAAAACTCACAAAATTAAAACTCCTGGAACTGTTTTTTTTTTTTTTTTTTTTAATAAAATGTCTTGAAATCTAATTTCAATGGGGAAAGAAGGATGTTTACTATGGACAGAGAAAAGGATTTATTTATATTGTGCTTTGACTCTAAGCATTATCTGTAGTTCTTACAAGACTGGTCTGCAGTCTAACTGCATTTCCATTTTACAGTCTGTTTTACAATTCCAGTCAGATTTCAGTGATTCAAGAGAAACTAACAGTAGTTGAATTCATTTTCCCCCAAAGGCTCTCAACTCTACAATTTATTCATCTATTAATAAATTCATCTTGATTCTACTGCCTACATGACAGGATACTACTTAGTGTCTGTCCTTTGCAGGAGAAGAGTTATTGCCCCTAGAATTCATACAAAAAGTGAAAGAAGCTCAAGACTACCCCTGTACCTTGGTATTCTTTCAAGCCTCTTCCATCATGTTTTCTATGTTTAGCCATCTACTTTTGTATTAATACTAAGGACCCAAATACCACTCTCCTCCCCTATGTCTATTTTTAGGGCAGAAAATGAGAGATTTTCAGAAGGTGTAAAAGAAGAAAATACTGCGGAAGAAAGGCAGAGTTCCTAAGCAAGCCCCAACACCTACCTCTGCTGCCAGGTAGTGTCCAGTAGCAAGGTGTTTGAACCTGAAAAGGCTATTCCAGTAGCCCGCACCACCACGGCAAGGATCATGCTGCACCACCTACAAGGAAAGGGAAACCACATTTACACCGTGTGTCAATGGCCTCCCTTTCAAACACAGCATTTACTGTACTTCATGTACAGCTAAGAGGAAACAGAATGACAAGCTCCAGAAAAGATGAAGCAACCATTCATATGTGAACAACACACAGCATGGTAAATACTTTCAGCAGACTACAATTAGTTCACCCCAACAATTCCAATTTTCTGTTCATTGTCCAGTGACAGTATCTGTTTGCAAAGTCACTGACCATGGCTGGCACTCCACTGGAGTCTGGTGAGTGATGGCAGGAAGATCATGGTGCAAGTTGGCAGAGAAGTAGTTAAAGAAGATGGTCTAAATGGGCATGTGTTGCTAGCTCTTAAACAAACCTCCTACAGAAATGCAACAAGTCCTTCACCTTTTTGGTATAGCTCATTTTTGACCTTCTGAAAGTGGGTGAGGTAAGACACTTGGAAATGTTTCAAATGCAATGGCTTTGTAAAAAGACTTGTATTTACTCTCTAACTTCTCCTGTGGCAAGCAGAGCCTCCAACATCAGATGATCTGTTACTCCATATCAGCTTCCCTGTGGGTACCCACTTCCTTAGGGAAAACTCAGCGTTGCTGAGCTGTGCCTTTCAGGGAAGGACTAGCTTATCTCTTCCTCGCATTTACCAACGGTAACTGCATACACATAGACAGTTACTGCAGAAGCTAATGACGTGTTCTAAAACGTCAACGTAAGTTAATGCTAGGTAGGCTTTTAATGTATATCGAAGTAGGTACTTTTAGAAAGAGAATATGAAAAACACCTATCCACTGTTACAATTGGTTTTATGATTCTCATAGGCAGTTAACACAGCAAGCATTTAAAATCATAAAACAACTCTAATCACACCAATAGAGTGAGGATATTTTAAGAAGTCAGTGATGGCCAAGGTGTTAGTCACACTATTTAAGAGCCAAGTAAAGAAAAAATGGTCCAGAAACAATGCACAGAGACTAGCAAAGGGTTGCAATCTCCTGTCAAATAAGGATGTGCATAATCACATTATTCCACACTAAAAATAGAGTGTTCGGTACACTCAGCAGGACACTTGAAATTATGAGCTGGTGTTAAACGCTAGTGACGGGTAAGAAAATGACTTGGTAGATACTTCTCTGTCCCCTTTTTCTGAATTGTCCAGAACCTGAATTTGAGAGCTATCTGCTGCAGCATTAGAGATCAGAACTCCTCTTTGATTTTGCACAGAAAACACAGTAAGTAAAGAAAATTTATGATTAAACTTCTAACACCAGGAAGACTTTTACCTAAAAAAAGAAATCCAGGTACACTGTTTTTAAACAGAAACAGTAATTGTCACTATACAGCCACCGCCAGCCTGGGTTACAATTCTTACCTCTACTTCCCACAGGGCTTTTGAACTCGTTGCAGATGTGGCCGACTGTCTCCCTGTTGTTCTCAGGAAGACATGCTGCTTCTTCCTGTGCTCATCGCAAGTCAGAAACTTCTCCTGTTCTGCATGAAACAGTCTCACCACATCCCCCTGTCAAAGCCCAGATAGCATGGTCAATACAGGCATTACCCATAAGTGAACACGTTACAAGCAAGTAGAGTTTTGAGTCTTACCCCTTTGAGAATATCATCTTTGTTATCACTCCATTTCATGAAGAGGACTATTTTCCAGCTTGTATTGCAATTCACAGAGTTGACCTAAAAGGAGAACTAAAACCATGAGTTCCACTGTCTCGTGCCTGAACAATATTCTGCCAAAGTACTGCCTTACCTTTTAGACGATTTTCAACAGAATACTCCAGTCCCTGTCGCTTTAGTCTAGAGAAGGAAAGCTCTTTCTGCATTTACTCCAGAGTAACTACAGAGCTGACTTGCTAGGAAGTCACTTGCTGCACATCACTGTGCCACGGCTTACGATTTTTTAAGAAAAATTTTATTTTTAGCCAGTCAAAAGTGATCAAACTCAAACCTCTGTCCAGTGCCCAACTGATAAGAGAGATGCCTGAGAGCTATATTAAGTTGCTGATTAATAAGATAACCACAAAGCCACAGGTACCAACCAACTTACTGATAACCTGATTTTCATAAAACACATGTCCTAGCAGCTTAGCTGAAACATGCAGAGGTTTGTACAGTTGCTCCAGCTGTGTCAGTCTGCCCTTACCTCATTGCATCCTGGGTTATCAACAAGCTGATGACTACTGGCGTGAAGAGGCTGGCCAGCGTTGACGGGATTCAGGACTACTTTGTCTCCAATGACAACCTGTAGATAAGTACAGCATCAGACAGAAACTTGCAACCTGAGAAAGCTCTTTTTCTTTCTTTTTTTAATGGGAATGATGGGAGGAAATCACCTTCTTGCATTTGGAGAGATGCCAGTCTGAGTATGAAAACCAGGATTCTGTTTGCTTCAGAGTTCAGCTCATCATACTCAGTCATTCAGGCAGAAAAAAAAACCCCTATACTATTGGACTCAGAGGCTTGCAGAAGAAACACAGACTGCAATTCCGGTAACTAACCTATCTGCTGCTTTCCATGAAGTTGTTTCATTGGTTAACATTTAACAAATAATTCCTATAGCAAAAGGTCAGCCAAAAACCCTCCTCCTCCAAGACACACTTTCATTTGTAAAATCAGATCCTTCACCAGGCTGGCATATGACTCAAGACAAATGCACTTTATTATGGACAGTAAAGGTCCTGTTCTTCCCTTCTTCTAGGGCAAAGTCTAACTTAAACTAAAACAAAAACAAAAAGCCTTTTCTGTATTGAAAAGAACTGTTCTTAGTGATAAAGAGTCTGAAAACTGTTGTGATTTAAAAGAGCTTAATGGCAACTAAGATGGCGCTACCCTGTGCTTTGGCTTTACTGTGTGCGTGTGTGTGCCTTAGAAGAGGAACAGCCACATCAAAATGTATGGGGCTACTCTACAGGATAAATTACTCCTATTTGATAAAGGCCGCTGTCTTTAGATGCCAAATATATACCTAGCCTGTACCACAGAGCACACTGAAGCTTATTACCTCATGATTTTAGGCAGACAGTATACCCAGGTACTCAGATTTGTAAAAAAAAAAAGAAAAGAGAGAAATTAAGAGATTAAGAGATTAAAATGGTAATGCATTTAATTCAGAACCAATTACTTTCCAGATTTCCTACGAACAGGACCATTTAACCTCATTACAACCTCATTCCTCATATACAAAAAGATGATGAATTTTCATTTCAAACTGACAACATTGAAAACCAAGATGCTACTTGTTCCAAATCTACTGAAGGAACTCAACGTTTCCTACCATTTTGAATTGGACAGGAATTGTGAGAGGCTAGTGTAATTAGGTCCCTCATTCCCTCCAACATTAAAGCATTCCACATTTCCAAAATACAAGTTACCATAGCAATTTTCCTCCCCCTCATGACAGCAGAGGAAAAAGGTTGTTCCTGCAACATCACGCACTAAAAGATCTGTGCATTTCATTAATTGCAAAACAGGCCTTCTGAAACAAGCTTTGCCAAGCTGTGCACAAAGTAATACATGAAAATATTCCTCTTAGCACTTACACTGTCTCCAATGGAACGTAGTTTATAGAAGGGCTGTATGTAGAACCAGGAACCTTCGTTTCCAGCTTCATCCAAGGTCACCCTCATAGCATTCTTCTCTAGCAGGGCTGGAAGTCTCTTATTTACTGTTAAGTATTTGTTACTTTTTAAGTGAAGCAGCTAGAATAAGAATTAGAGTTCAGTTCTAAGAATGCTCATTTTTCCTCCCCTCAATAAATAGCAAGTGTGCGTAAGATAACCACAGTATAATAAAGGAATTAAAAGAAAAACTAAATTATATAAAAATACTGATGAATTCAGGCACAATTTCACTTACACTGCTTTCAGTATATATACAGTCCTACAGCACAAAACATCTTCAGTTAATCCAACAGTCCCTTCTCCAGCAAACAATAAACACTTAGAACTGTTCTTGCCACTTTACAACAGCCTATTCAAAAACCCAGGATCAAAAGCTGTAAGATGCTGGGGACTAAGTGGTTTTCCCTGGTAAAAAGGGGGTGGTGAGCAGGAAAGCTGCTCTTATCTTGCTTTGCTCTGTCTGATTTAACAGAAAATGTGACTGCTCCTTTGAAGACTCTCTTCAAAAAACTCCCATTCTTCAACCTTCTGCTGCATACCACCTCGCAGACTGCACAGCATCAGTATCTATACGTAAGCTGCAACAGGTCACATTCCAGCTCCCAGCCACTCCGCTCCAACCAACTGTTGTCAAATTTCCAGTAAATTTAACAGAGGTGCTTTTGTATAGAAAGGGCTTTTTCATGCCTTTTGACTACCATAAATAGTGGTTACTCACAGAAGATTTTGGAGTTATGGGAAAATATGGGCAAAAAATTATTGCTGCTCTTAGTAGTGTTGATGCTTGTAGTCCAATCAATAAAAATGTATATTGTTATTTTTCTTTCATCATTAAAAGTAGATTTTTCTTTGCCTCAAACACATAGGCCAATAGCACACTTAATTCAACCAAAGCAGGGACTTGCCTGCCCTTCCTCCACCAGGTTGCTCCAAATCCTGCAATTTAAAGGGCAGCCAACCAATTTCTCCTTGCAACAAGAAAGTCCGGTCTTGCCTGTGCTGCTAGCCACCCCCTCTGTTGGCTGGTATTATGTCAGCAGAATAAAATAAAAAGCATTTTTAGAGGAATTTCCTAATTTAAGGCTCAAAACACTCAGGCAGCTATCCCTACTTCTGAAGAGCTGAGGCACTCTATCCAGTGGAAGTAGGTCTGCTTTGGTTCCAGGGTGAACCCACACCTGCTGCATATTATGTTCCCCATTAAACACCTGCTTTTTTTAACATAATTATTATACTTTCCATTTTTACTGGGTTTAACACATTATTAAATATTTGTTATTCCATTCCCTGCAATCTAGCATACCCTTTGCTTCAGTGGACTGCAACTACTTATACGGCTTGATTTTCCTTCTCTCCATCAGTTTATTATTTGACATGTCAACATTTGACTGTGCAAGACCGTATTTGGCATTGTACAGTGCCTGTGCCATCTTCCAAATGGCCAACTCTAATGAAGGCTCTGAGAAGTGTTTCTGAAGAAAGCAATCATATGGTGACCTCAACAACAGCAAAAAAAAGGCACAATTAACCCATAATAAAAAAGTGACTCCACCATAGCTATACATCCAGTTCTTGCTTCACAGGCTCCCACTTCAAGATGTTGTCACACCCTGCAAAGCTACGGACTCTTGTCCATGAATTCCAGAAATTCCAAGTCACATTGAGCAGGGGAATTTGAAAAAAATCCTGTACAGCTTGCAAAGGTGTTCATGGCCTACCTGGATAACATTGCCATACTGGATGACCGTTCCCAGCAGCTTTCTGTTTTCAGTTTCATTCTGTTTCTTTTCCAAATCTGCCGCATGCTGAAAGTAAAGGAGAACCATTAGATTGCTGACTGTTTTATAAAAAGTGTGGCCAGGCACTCGAGGTTCTTTAAGAGTATTTCAAAGAACTGGAAAAACAGTGAGCATCTGAAACAGCGCAATTTCTTTTTATCAACTTCTAACAGTGTCATTCCCAATTCCCTTTTTCAGTTGCTTAGGAAGCTAGACACACGCCATTTAAGCAATTCTTAATTTGCATATAATTTGACAAAATTTTGGAATAAAACATGAGATGGAAAATTCGGACAAGACAAAAGACAAGCCATGAGAAGACAACAACGCACCTACGGAGGTAAGGCGGAAAGGGACGGGCAACGACTCGAGCCAGGAGGTCTGTATTACTTCCCACTGACTTCTATACAAATTGAAAGAAAAGGACCTTGGCTTCAGATCTTCATTTTACTTTGCCAATATAAGCCCCAATTTTTCCATAGCCTGTCTTTTTACGACGACTCTAATCATCTTCACCATGCAGCAGGATTATTCAGAAGACATTTACAAAAGCCCGCTGCAGCTCTGGATACACGAGTTGCCGACGTCCCAGCAACACCGAGCGCGTACTTCATCAGGCTGAAGGATACTCTGTGCAACGTTACAGACCGGCTGCGAGAACGCAGCTGGGCATTTCTGCATCACACTAACACGGTAATACAAGGGAAAGTCCTTGCAAAATTGAATGATCGTATGGGTGCATTGTTCTGTTTAATAACTTAATTGATAACTAGCCTCTCACACTTTGTTTTGTTTCACAAGAAATGAGCTATTTTGCCAAGCCCCTTTTTAAACCATTTCATTCGGTAAAAAAATTCTCTCTTACTTTACATGAAAGACAGGGTTTTTTCATTAAAAACATCTGTATTTGCTTTAACTGATACCTGGTAGTAGAGAGTAATTTAAAACAAGACTTTTCTGGAGGCTAAGCACTGATGTTTATGGTGTGGTGCTCAGATCTCAAGGACTATAGCAGGTCCAGTTTTCTCCTGGAGGAGAAGTAAGTGCCCACATTTCCTAACTGCAGTAACGTAAAGCAGTAATAACACAGGACAAAACTTAGCTACTACAATGGAAGAGCTACCTGCATACTGTTATAAAATTTCAGCATGTTCAGCTTATACAAAATGTGCTATTTTTAGAAGTTGTGCTAGGTACAGTAGGTGGCTCTTGCTCCAAGAGAACCTGGAATACAGCTGCTCATTCAAATTCAAAAATATATTCAGAAATACAATGTGGAAAAACTTTATCCCTAGTACTGATTTTTTTTTTTCCCCCCCTCGATTTCAAGTTATTTTGTTGAGAAAGGATTTCTCCAATACACTAGGGCCCTCTCAACTATCAACAGCAATCACATAAGACAGGACTTCTCTGCCTGCACTGGACTGGGTGCCACAATAGTAAGTAAAGAAAATAGTGTATTCGGTGAAAATATGATTAAGACTTTGGATGCATTTCAAAAGCACACACCAAAACTGACAATCATTCAAGAAGAAAGAATAATTTTCTTTGGCCACTAGATGTCAGCTTCTCAACCAGCACTGATTCTTGATACCAAAGAAAGACAAGTGTCCCAGATTTTAAATCCCTTAAATGGCATTAACTTAAAATAACCTGACCTCAGCATTGAGCACTCCACAGCAGACAATAAATTCCACCAGCAGACAAACAGAAGCCAAAAAAGGCAAGTGATGATGAATACATCTTGCATCACCAATTGCATTACAAATTATATGCAGTGATAAAAAAAAAAATCTCATCACCAGCAGAGCTAACAGTTGTATGCACATGTTTCAGGGCATAGCCCCCCAACAAACATCATGTAAAACGCAGGGTTTTTCAGTGTATTCCATGTGCCAAAAAATGGAAAAGATGACAGATGTGCCCATATGATTGGCAGGAAAATTAGTGTTGATATGTGGGTGATGTACATGGAACCAAATTATTTTCCAGCTATGTACCAGACCCAGTTCACTGAAGACCTGATTTGGCACATGCTACATGAGAGATTAGCCTTTATGTCAAAGTGATGCATGTTAAATAATATCCAATAAAACTGTAAGGTACTGAAATACTTTTACCAAATCAAGCAAGCAGTTCATGCATGGTGGTACATTTCTGTACAAACATCACTCAGCTGGGGCTAAATACTGGAAAAATCTAATCTTGTATTTCCACAGGGACCTCGGCACAAAACGGGAAAATGTCAGACAAATAGGAACAGGTCCCAAACACCTGAACTGGCATGTACTAAGGGAAGAGACGACAACTTTAAATGACATTGTAATCCAGGGCAATTACACAGTATTTTTCTTCTACATGACACAGTATTTAGACCATACTTTCTCTTAAAATCCATGAACTCACACACATAACCTGCGGGCATAAACTCTCCCCTTCCCTTGTACACCAAAAAAACCGAACTCCGAACCCTCTGTTACTTAAAGCTTGCTGGCATGGTCTACTTTGATCATCATTAAAGGGGCAGGAGAAATGCTGCACAAGTGAGGGACCTTTGTGCTACCAAAATAGCTTTCTCCTTGCCAAGTTAATACTTCTAGGTTATAAAATTATGTTTTCAGAAGTAAAATGAGTCAAACAGCCTTTGTGAAATGCGGGAGCAAGGCAGCCATATGGCAATCAGCAAATGACACTCTCCTACAGGGCCATTTTGTATTTCAGTCTACAATGAGCTTAATATAGGCTTAAAGGAACTAAAAATATTTAGAATTGTAATTTTGACATGAAGTACTCTAGCTATGCAATTTTAACATAAACATGAAGTTTATTTAACTCTAAAGTCAACAGATGGTATTTAAGTTTTTTGGGTTTTTTTTTTTTTATTATAGGAACTCTAAAAACAGCAATCAACTGCCTTACTGGGTTTTCAATGGCTCAGTGTCAACATTTTACCCAGAAAATACTAAATACTGCAAGCTAACAAGGAATGAGAGGCTGTCTGGCCTTATAATTACTCATAATTACCCATCAATATCTAGATGTATCAACAGCAGCTATATTTTTTTGAGGAATCCCAAAAGATTTATCAGACTGGTAGCTCAGATGGCATCTACCAGCCACGAACGCCTGTGACTTCCCACATTGAGACGCAACGCCTGAGAATTCTCTACTCTGCGTAGTTGTTTGAAAAGGTCCCCCTTTCACACTGTTACCACCCATAAGGCCCACGTAGACCACTACTATGGGTTAGCACAGGTTAACGACAACAGCTTAAATGGCTACCATGACTCTAACCCAGTATCACACATACCGATATTGGGGGACACACAGGCCTTGAACAGCATGTTGTCATAAATCAGAGGATGATTAAAGACTTAGATCTCAGTGACTGTCTCTTGTATACTGATTTCTATATACTTTGTTGGTGTCTCCAGGTTAAGTGTGTCAAGCTGATTGAAAATACTTATTTAAAGCAGTATGGGTAAGAGTGTTATGATCAGCAGTAGCCTTACCGTGAATACTTACATGCAGTTTATTGAGTAGCACGGCGTCTGTTGTGCTGTTAGCTCCTGGCTTTGCTGCTTTCCAGAACTGCTTTTGAGCAGAGTACCGGTTCATGGGACATAGTTTGAACAAGCAATCTATAAAAACAGAAGAAATAAACAGAGAGATTGCTTCAACCATTCGTAATTATCTGGATTTTTGCTGCTAACATTGTCCAAATATTCCAGCAGCAAGGAAAGGTTTATAAACAAATTCCAAAAAGCTCTTGATCAGACAAACGCTTTTTTGAGCAACAGGAATGTTGCCCCATGAATGATAAAAATTAACTGTTGCTGCCAAACATCTGATGCAAGAGCAGAAAATTTACGACATGTTCCAGTCAAAAACACTACAATACTAAAATGGTAACACATTTCAATGCTTTCCCAGGCAAACAGATCCATTTTACACACTTACAACTTTTTGGTTTTGTACTTTAGCAGGTAGGCTACTTACCACAATTAATGTTAGGTTGGGGGTTTTTAGTTTGTTTTTTTCATTGTTGTTTGTTTAGTTTTTAAATCAAATCCCTTCTACTGCTAGGGAAAATGAGGCACAAAGGATTGGAGAAACTCACCCAATAAAGTAGCAGCAGCATAAAATCCCCCAAACAACAGCACACACACACAGACATTCAACACACAGCTCCAGGTAACAGCAAACCCCTCGGGGTGTCGGGTTCTTTACCCAGTCCATCGACATCGTTTATTTAACGTTCTGCCTGGCGAAAGCCAGGAATCACAGCTCATTAGTCTTATTAAAAATACATTTTTATATTAAAGAGATACTAACTTATCAGTAATAAAACCAAAGTAGCTGCATTTACTATTTTTCCTCTTCTGTGTTGCTAAGCGACCGAACACGCAAAAAAATAAAGCTATCCAAAGACAGCGCCGAAGGTAGCAGCTTAGAAGTTTAAACAAAGTGCCAAAAAAGCCAGAAGGGTGTTCCCAGTGCCTCCTTGGCAATGGCGTGGATGGAAGACTTGAGGCTTCTAATTCAGCTGGTATTTCTCAAGGCTCCCGGTGTATTCTGACAGGCAAGCGCTGCAACGTGGGAAGCAGTGAGCTGAGCAGGGACCCACCTGGGCTTCTATCTTCGCTCTCTGAAAAGCACAGCTGGTTATGGGGTACCTTGCTAATAGACACATCGGATGGATGTCAACCAAAAATGGGAAAAACCCCACACTGAAGACAAGTCATTTCAGCTCTGCCAGAGGTTGAAGTTGCTGAGCCCCGTTAGAGACAGTCTTTGATAATTTTACCTTGGGATGCCATTTGAGATGGACACCTTCACTCTTTTCATGCCTTTCTTCAAGAAAAGAGCTATGTGATGTCACTCTGCTTGCCTGATCAATCCATCCTCAAAGCACCATTAGAGCACAGCAGCCCATATCAAACACCTTTCACAGAAGGGCAAAAGTCTGTCTTCAGAACTAAATCCCCTTCTAACAGGGTGCAGCACCCGTGGCAGATGAGCCATCGACTGCCAAGTGGGCTGATAAACTTGTCCCAAACCACCACAGTGATCCCTGCAGACTGCTTAGCTGGTGGCCCAGTATGCCAGCAACAGCTACAGGAGGAGCTGGGTATGGCACTGGGGATCTTTAATGGAGTGACACATACTGGGGAAGGAGAGGAAGAGCTGAGGGCATGTGGAAGGAGATTTAATTGCACCTATCCACAAATACTCACCTCCACTTTGACACTACCAGCTTACAGCTTCTGAACAAACAAGAGAAGTGGAAAACGAAGTGCAAACCACACTTCCCAGGTTTGCTCTCTTCAACGTCTTTTTCATTTACATAAATGATTCACAGAGATTGACAGCACAGAACAGATTCAAAAAGCCACTGCAGAGTGGCACTTTAAGCTAAGACTATGCATTGTAAGCAACACACCAGTTAAAATTTTCTATTTTTGCTTAAACCATCAGTTCACACAATGACAGCAATTAACACACAGAACTGCATAGCAGAATTAATTGTATGCTGGATTTAGTCACAGTGCAAGTGTACTTTTTTCCCATCATTCTCAGTCAAGAAAGTTGTCAAGTTAGGCTTAACTTCCAACTGTTAACTGCAAGCAACCCCCTCTCTTCCCTGTAGCACAGGGGAGAAGTCTACAAGTGTTTGACCTTGTCCAATGCAAGAAGGGAAAACAACAGTTTTTCCTTAGGTTTCCTTCTTAGTTACAAAGCTACAGGTCTAAAACAAACAACGAAAAGCACCCACCATTTTTATTCTATTATTTGTTCTATGAAATCTATTTCTTCAGTGGTTGAGGAGTAAAACTCAGCCTTATTCACCTTAATTTGACCACCAGAGGCTGGTTAGTACCAAATGTATTTCACCATGGGTCAAACTACATGAACTTTGCGGCCAGAAGAGTTTTAGGCATCCAGATTCCATAGACCTATATGTTTACAAAAATCAACATGCAAGGATGTGCTGGGTACCACCACGGTCAGCAATGTGCAACCCACAGCTGTGATGGCTGTGTAAGATAAACCAACTACTTGTCAGACACTATACTACAGGAGTTAGGTCTAACATCCAAAATGAAGCCAAAGCAGCTGAAGCAATCAGCTCTCTGCTCTGATCATGGGTTCAAGCAGCTTTAGCCACATAGGAAAGGTGATAAAGCTATTACCGCAGAGTAATTACATCTTATACTGTTAGTTGAATATTAACCACAAAGAAATGCATTTTCTTTTCAGATCTTCATGATATACAGTGAAAAACGGCAGAACTGCACACTGAATAAGTATAAAAAGAAAATACCATGTAACTGCTGATGAAATGATGACACATCATCAAGCCTGAACACCAAACAAAGGTCCTGCAGGAAAAAGTGGTTGCATAATTGTATACTAACCCATCAAGCATATGCACAAGGATGATGAATGAAGATTATATGGACAGGTATTAGATGTGCATTTCAATGTTTCCAAGCTAAGTCCTGTTCTTTGGTCAGCAATTGCTTTGCATCTCATTAAGTGCACCGAGCAAGACCATAATTGCAACATGTGATATATTCATGCTCTGACTGTTTGGACACTTAGATGCCCACGCGGGTCTCTGCCACCTGAAGCTCACAAAAATATTTTCAGTAATGCTTGGTTATCCTCTGCATGTACTGGCATGACAGAGGAATGATCAAAATCAAGGACACTGGAAACACTAGAAAATTCTATGTCCTGCAGTATTCTGGGGTTCAATAAAGAGAGAAACTTGCCAGCTACATTACACCAACTGAAATCCTTCATGAAACCCCATGGTTTTAATTTTATCTTCTTCCTTTTCCATTGCCTTCTCTTGTACTAGACCTTGCTGCTCTCCTTCCCAGTCATAGTCTCCAAACTTCCAAACTTACCTCCCAGTCCAAGCCCAACCGGTCAGATCCTCTACTTCCATCCTGATTAATTTATTCAGCCCTCAACAACCGATTAATACATCCCTTTTCCCCTTATGACAGCAATGTACAGGTCTCCACCTAATACTTTAGGAGGGATTATGTTTTGCCCTGACAATCTTTATCTTCCAAGGTTTGCCAGCTTCATCATCCAAGGCACCTTACGCTCCCAAAGCATAAGGAACCAGAACTTCACAGCCGGGCTTTTTTCCTTAACCATAGACACAGTATATTGCCAATCACTTTTTAAGAATGCAGATCTTTTTTAAAAAACACATCTGGGAAAAGAACCGGGGGGGGCGGGGCGGAATCAGTCAAACCAGCAAAACTTAAAAACAGGAGGTTGGAAAAGCATCCCATAACGGAAACTTGCAGCCAGCCTTGAGCCTCCGCGAGAACTGCCCTGCACGGGGGCAGGTAAGCTGCTGCTGGGCAAGTGAAAATTATCCTACGGTCAGTCCCTCAGCATCTGGGCTCACAGATGCAGGACCCGATTTAAGAAAGGGACGGTCACTGTTCCACGTAACACCAGCAAGCTCCCTTTTGGTGCTGCCCCGTGACAGATGGCTTGCTGGCTACCCCCGTCCTGTCCTACCTGCCGGGTTCGATTCAATCGGGTACGCACAACTTTTGCTTTCGTAGCAAGATGAAAAACCTGACCAGACTCTTTTTTTTTTTTCTTCACCCTTTCTTTTTTTAAAATGGACTGTGTTGCACAGGAATTTAAGTAGCAGTTAGGTAGCATGTTAATGAGATTATTACAAAACATAATGCAAGACTTGTCCAAAATTGCAAATACCCACTAAGTTCAGAGAGGCTGGAGTGGAGTATTTCAGAGCCCACCCCAGATACAGTCACCTTCTTTCACCACAAGCTGCCTAGAAATACGTAACTCAAACATACCCACGCATTCGCAGTCTTCCCTTCAGAGGGTGTCCCACCACCTGGGCCACTAAGTGGTGGCACGGTGTCCGTTCTACCCTCGGTATCGGAAGACAGCTCAGGAAGTTGCTAAACTGACGCTGCTGACGTGCGAAGCTCTTCGCGCTGGCCGCGCTGGTGACAGCTGGACACCAGCCGCTACGAGAACTTCCCGTCTCTGCCGCTCTCCGAGAGCAGCTCCGATCAGTTTTGAGTTGCAGCGCACAGGTTTTCTCACTCTGCCCTTCCCTAGCGCGCTCGTTTCTCAGTGATCTGGAAGCACTTTTAACCTAAGCCAGGCTGCTTGTGTAACACACCACTCATCGTTTTTTCCAGATCTCCCCTGGCTATTTTAAACATTTAGTAGAAAGCCTTCACCAACTTCTCTGCAGTTAGAGAAAGCAGGCATCAAATATTTTGTTGGCAAAATGTGGGTCATATAGTTCATTTTTTAAACACAGGCCCAGACTTTACAAAAAGCCAACTGGAGAAAGGTAAGCGTCAAGAAAAATTATCCCCTCTCAAAAAAAAAAAAAAAAAAAAAAAAATCATACTTCAGCATATTTTCAGATGAGGGAAATCTGTAAAGATGAAGGTATTTAAATAAAGTCACTTGCAAAATCCACTGAATATTTAACACCAACACAGTTGTTTCTTCATTACTTGAAAAAAACCCAAACTCCTTTTTGCACAGCAATACTAAAATTAAAAGAAAATTAGCAATTCCCTGTTGAAATTTAGCAGTTCCTCTTCAGACTTTTCTA